TTAAGAATTATTTATGTTTCGATATTAAAGAAGATGAAATAGCATTTAATCCCTTGAACCAATGTAGTGTGAATTTAATAAAGAATCACCTTAATGTATGTGTTGTTAGATTTATGAATTAAATGGTAATAACCAAATAAAGTGTGAACACCTTAGGCACTTCATGTTCGGTAAGCACCGATAGAATTAATACTTAGGACCATATTAGAAATCTGATAGTAAATTATTTGTGGAAGTGTAAAGGCACTTCGAGTTTGGCAACATACATATAATGTTGATTCTAGAAGGAATATAAAGTATGAGTATAGAAAATGTTAAAGCTCCTAGAGCTTGTCATGGATGTAAGGTACATGGAAGGAAGGTAATATCGTAAAACCTCTTTAGTGGACATGATCCAAGTAAAGGGAGAAAGGTACTACAGTAAAAACCTCTCCTTAGTGGAAGTGATCTAGGTAAAGGGAGGATGGTAATCCCGTAAAACCTCACTTAGTGAATAAGATTAGTATATTGTTTTTACAAGTATAAAATAAATATAATCCTTCCGTTTCTTTAATAATCTGAGGAATAAAATAATCATATTTTACCATAAAAATATTCGTTGAACAAATTTCACCATAATGCTATTATTTTTTTGTAGCCGCCCCACCATCAAATGCATCATGTTTTTGAGATGAATTGCAAAACTGAAAAAAATATTCTTCTATCTTGAACAAACATTTTTCAGCTTTTGCAATCCATCTCAAACAATGGTGTCGATGTTGTTGTTGTTGTTTTTGTTGAAGGTTTTGAACAACTATAATTTATTCCTAAAAGTCTTTACTGAGGGATTGCAAGTGCAGAAAAAATATTTTTCATTTTTTAGAACAAACACCTTATTAGAAGTTGGATGCATTCAAAGCATGCACTATGTATACGCTAGTGAAGACAGTGATAATGATAGCATCAACAATCAATCTTCGATGAAAAGTTCTGACATTCAAGCATCAACACTTTTATGATGGATTGTAAGTGCAGAAAAACCATTAAAGGAATTTGTTGTAAACAATTTATTTTAATTTCATGTGTAGACAATGTAACATAAACAAGTTATAATAAGAACTATCACCTTAATTTTTAACCTTAACCGAGGTGATAGTTAAAAATAATAATAATAATAATGTTATCTCGATTTTATAAATAAACCGAGGGGTATAATAGTCAAATTTTACTATAAAACCAATAGTTATATTTTACTCTAATTTGTGCTAATATGAAGTCGCCGTAAATCTGCATCATTATTTAGGATAGATTGCAAGATAGAAAAAATCTTCAATATTCTTCTATCTAGAACAAAATATATTTTATGACCTTGTAATCTATCTCACAAAATGGTAATGGTATTGTATTTTTTTTGTTGCTTATTTGATAGATTGCAACTGCAGAAAATCATTCTTTTTTCAAGTTACAAAAAGAAGAGAAATCAACCTTTGAAAGGTTAAACAAATATGGGAGCTTAACTTTTCAGAAGATAAATATCAACGAAAAATGAAAAATCTTATGGGAAAACAGATCTCTAGCATCTTATATGGGACCTGGACATGTTGTATTTTTAATATTATGAGAAAACAATCTTGATATTCTGCGAAGATTTGTTGAATACAATGTATTTTTAATATTCTGGGCCAACAATGTAACTATTTTTGTAAAAAAAATCAATCTAACCCCTCAGTTTTATTCCAAAACCGAGAGGACAGTTAAGTGTTATTTTTCACTATTTTCAATGGTCTTAAACATATCTTTGCCGTCTATTTAAATATTATTAACGCTCAAAAATCCGTCATTAGTGATCCGCGTGAAACCTAAGGGACATCCATTATATAAGTTCTCTGAGGATATTGGAAATCTAACCTAAATGAAACATATGAAGCACTTGAAACCTAAGGACGCTTGGAAAAGTTCTCTACGTTGGATTGCAAGAGCAAAAAATCATCTAGGTTCGAGGTTTGTTTTATTAAATTTTTATTTGTACCGAATTTTTTTTTTATTATTGATATTAATTATCTTACCCTTTTTTTCATTGAAACAAATACATGCAAGATCCGGAGAGAATATTCTTGTATCCAACATTTGATCTTCACTTAGATTCAATAATTCAAATATCTAAAGTCTAAATCTAGAGGAAATTTGATTTTTATCTAGATCCTTAGTGAATTTGATTTTAATTTTAATTTTTAGGATAAACAATGTAATAATCTGGGTAAACAATGTAACAATTTAAAAATTAATAATAAGCATACCCCTCAATTATTTGATATACCGAGAAAAAAGATATGATAGTTTTGAAAATAATAAAATTTGTTGTTGCTGGAGTTCGAACACACGCGCTAATAAAACTATACTTTGGTGTTTTAAACGCTGAGGTGATAAGTTTTTACTTTTATGACGACCTTATTTACCTCGCTTCTTTTTTCCGAGGTAAAACATATTTCGCGTTCAAGATTAGAAGCGTTATTTGTAGTAGTGATTAAATGAAAGTAAGTGTGATTAGTTTAATGATTGTTACACATTCCCAACTCACATTTTTTTAACTAACCAGGAGATGTCTGGAAGTTGACTCATCTCTCAAGGGATCACGTAAGTATTCACCAAGCTGAAGGACTCGCCCTTTAATAAATATTCTCCTTCAGCTTAGGGACTTGCCCCTTTAGTAAAAGGATGTCATCCGCTCAGGGATTCACTGGTAGTGCGAGGGGAACGGCTAAAAAAAAAGGATCTTAAAAATAATTTGCCCTTAGAAAATCCCTCTTGCTCGAGGGACTATGTAAAGTTATATTTATGAGTATCCTAAATTAGGTCGCCCTCGTCTAAAAGATGTACCGCCTAGGCGATTACTTAAGGACTTTCCATTGACACTGATGATGTGTAATGTCGTTAGTCAAAGGAGAGAAAGCCATCCACTATTCTCTAAAGGATATGTGGTCAATAACTTCTGATCATGAAGGAGCAGTTGTTGCCACTCAGGTTTATCTAAATCCTAGGCTCAAAAGGCCTCTATAAATACTCATCCTTCAAGGAGGGGAAATGACATATTTAAATTTATAGGGATCACAATAACCATCCGCTTAGACCTAAGCACATTGTCCATCTACAGAGCATCTCTCCGCACATGAATAAGACTCCTAAAACCACATTAATACACCACCATATAGGGCTTCTCGCCGCTGAAAATCCCTAACCCCCATATACTATAACATACCTACAAAGTCCACTGTGCCACGTGCCCTTGCAGGAGGAACACACACATACACACCTGTAATTTTTTACCAATACACAACTTATGTGGATTTTGCATCATTTTACTATTACATTGTATATTTGAAGTCATGGATATGATCAAGACGTCGTTTGTTATTAAGGAAAAAATACTTAACTAAAAAGCCTACCTTGTGAGATTATGATTATTTGATAATTGAATTTTTTACAGACTTACCATCTTTTTACACAAAAAATCCCACTATACCATCATCTTCAATCAATATTCCCATACTACCATGTTTTCAAACAAATTTTATTTTTGTCACAAAGTATCCGCCAGGTGAATGGGCGGAACTGTTGAAAATATTTGACATCCGCAAAAGCAATGGGCGAAAGTATTATAATTTTTAGAGGCTCCGCTCATCCAATGGGCGGAAGAGTGTAAAGGTGTTTACTGTATAATTTAATAAAAAAAATGATATTATAACAGTTCCGCCAACCCAATGGGCGGAAGCTTTATAATTTAGAGAGCATCCGTCAATCCAATGGGCGGAGCCTCTTATTTTAATTTTTATTTATTTGAAAATATGGTATATTAGGAATATGCGTTAAAATGTATGGTAGTATAGGAATTTATTGGTAAAAAAGTTGTATGTAGATAAAAAATTCTTGATAATTCCTTCAAACCTATAAAAGTGAAAAGTTTATTCTTTTAACTTTACAATCTTAGTCAATTTTAAAACAAAAACAATATACACCACTTTATTTGAACGATAGGAAAATACTTTAAAAGTAATTGTATTTCAAAAATTAAAGTTAAAGAAAAAGGAACAGTTTTGGAGAAAAAAATCAAGTAGTAAATGTAAATAGAAATAAAAGAATATAATTTGATAAACAAAAAAGAAAAAGAAAATAAATTATAGGTCAAAGCATACAAATACAAGTAAAAAAAAAATTTGTCGTAAAGAAGATAAGAAAAAAAAGACTCTTTAAAAAAAGTGATATACCAAAACGTTTTTAATCTTTTATTTTTGTATTCCAACCACATTTCAATCAAAAGAAAGACTTTACTGTCTAAATAAATTGGCAATCCCTAGAAAAATGACATTGTAAAGATTATAAGAAAAATATTTGTTTATTACTTATTTAATAATTTATGATCATGCTATTTTAATATCTTTGACTAAATAAATTTTTTAACATTTAAAAGTAAATACACATTTATAAAAAGAGTTTCACTTGAAATAATCTTAATAATTGATATTTTAATTGAATACAATTAGTTTATGTTTAATATCATAATGTTTTCATGTTTTTATTTAAAAAAATAGTATAATAATAATAATAATAATAATAATAATAATAATAATAATAATAATAATAATAATAATAATAATAATAATAATAATAATAATAATAATAATAATAATAATAATAAAAGGTATTTCTTTAATAATAATATAATAGTGTTAATAATATTTTAAGAAAACAATAAATATTTTCTAAAAAACATAAATAAATAAAAAGGTAAATAATTAAGTGTGAATTGACCAGGACGGGTACAATCTAGTCTTTACAAATGGCATACATGGAGAACAGATCACCTTTCAAATTACAAAATAGCCTTTAAGCTTACATCATGTCAAATTTGTATTGGTTGATTATGCTTCATTTGCATTTACATTTAGATATGCATTCATATACACAAGTAACTTAGTATAAAAGAAATTTCACAGTAAAAAAATCACTACGCTTGGTTGACCATAATGTCAGAAAATCAGCATTCTCGCGTGGAAGAATCTCTCCAAGAGAACCAGGTGACTAAGAATGAAGATGAACTTGGTTAGCATTATTTTTCTTATCTCTATTTTGAAATTATTTACTGCTTAATCTTCATATCAACTCCTATGCTTTGATTTTGTTATCAATTGCTGTGTATGGTTCATCTAGCTTATCCTTTTTTCAACAGATTTCACTCAAAAGCATTCCTCTGAAAATGTTAAAGAAGATGATGATGAAAAAGAGGAAGGGGAAGAGGAGGAAGAAGAAGAAGAAGAAGAAGAAGAAGAAGAAGAAGAAGAAGAAGAAGAAGAAGAAGAAGAAGAAGAAGAAGAAGAAGAAGAAGAAGAAGAAGAAGAAGAAAAAGAAGAAGAAGAAAAAGAGGAGGAGGAGGAAGAAGTAGAGTATGTGAAACTAATTCCATTTTTTTCATTTTACCTGTTGAAATTTCAACGTGGATCTGATTGCTCCGTTTGATTTTAAGTATAGTTTTTCTGGTTGTGTCTAGTTTTTTTGCTTACTTCGATTGACTTAGCATATTTACGTGCGTGCTTTTAGGTTCATTAATCCAATTGTTTATGCTGTGTCAAAATTTGATAATTCAAGAATCGCATCTGGTTGTGTCTAGATTACATTTACATCATCATGTTTTTTGAAGTTGGATGTAACTTGATGGAAACTACAGCTTGATGAAATTGTTCATATTTATCATTAAGCGATCCGTCTCTGTAAATTGTATTGCATTCTACTGTTTGTAAATTTGTTTATTTTTGTTGTTTCATTGCAGGTATCTGGTGTTCAATTTATCTTCAATTCGAACAGAAATCGAATGCCCTATCTGTCTTGGTATCTAATTTTTAACTCATGCTAGATTGCATAGTTTAATACTGTAATTTTGTTATGCTAAAAATTGTAACAATTATGGTTTATCAAATTAAATGATATCAAATTGTTAAATGTGTCAGTTTAATATTAGTTGATGAACAAATCTAGGATAATATTTAGATACAAATAAAACCTATATAATTAAGTTATGTTGTGATTAATTGAATATAACTTGTACAATGGATTTGTTTTTGATGGAAGTTATGAATCAATGACAACTTATGTTTTAAGTGTGGCTTCATCAGATTACATTCTATATGTGTAGGCATCATTCGAAACACAAGTACTGTAATGGAATGCTTGCATCGCTTTTGCAGAGAGTGCATACACAAGAGCATTCGACTTGGGTTTCTCCTCAAACTAACCACCATTAATTTCAGCTTTATATCATTTCACAGTTAGATTTGTAATGATTAGTTAGCTCTAAATTATTTCTATTTCTTTATTTGTAGTAACAAAGAATGTCCTACTTGTCGTGTACATTGTCCTAGCAAAAGGTCACTGAGAGATGATCCATCCTATGATGCTTTGATTCATGTTTTGTGTCCTGATATTGACAAGTTTGAGAAAGAGGTAAGTATACATATTTATTGCATCTTAAATATATAAGAAAATTCTAATTTATTTGAATGAAAAACAAATCAACAAGATTATGTTGTTTCCTAGGAATTGGCTTCGATTGAAGAAGAATTGGATCTGCCTAATAAGAAGGTAAATTCATTTATTAAATATAGTTGTTTAATTAAAAATGTATATTTATAATATAAGAAACTCTACTAGAGAAAACAAATGTCTTGATACGTAGTGAAGCTAGTAATATTATTTTATAACCTCATAATTTATGCTCTTTCAGGTGTAGAATTGGTAGGATGGCACTTTGTGTAACTTGAATATGCTATATCTCGGGTTCTGTGCACTAGTTTACACTAGCCACTCCATATTAAACATTCAAATGGATGAAATACTTTTTGTTATGGTTTGAAATTATTAGATTAATATTCGTGTTTTTTTAGAATATTAACTTTATGTTGATTTATTGTACTAGTCGATAATACTAGTAAAAAATTTAAGATATGCCCTCAAGGTGTTCATTACAAGAAAACATGCAATTAGTCAGGTGATTATGTCAAGTATTATTCACCTCGCAATAAAATGTATTTGTAAGGTGTTATTCACCTTGCAACATTGTTTTTAAAATAAAAGAAAAAATTGTAAGTGTTTTTATCTCGGAGATGATTGAGGGAATTTTGAATTTTTTGAATTGAAAGTTGCAAAGTGAAAAACATTCTACAACTGTTTTTAAAATTTTTGAGGAGAAGTCCAGTTGTATAATTATTGATACGTCAGTGAGGACAAAGTAACTTTATTGTGATACAGATAGCGAGGTTATAAGCACCCTGCAAGTTCCAACGGTAAGAAACTTTGCAGGGTGAATCCCACTTCGCAATAATTTTTTGAAAAAATTGGGTGAAAACTACATATTGTATTTATTAATTTAACAGAGAGACAGGGGAACGTTCTAGTCAATACTGACATCATTAGTTGTGGGGTGCTATTCACCTTGCAAATTTCAACAGTAATAAATATTGCAGGGTTTTTCTCACCATACAAGTTTGCTTTATACATCTCCAAAATTCTTTCATTTTTCTCTATTACATAAGCATAACATCCATTTCTTCTTTTATCTTCTCTCAATCCTTTAAAGGGAAATTTTCCAACCCCTCTATATCTCTCAAATCTCTGAATTTTTACCCCAAATGAAACCTCAAAAACTCAAATTTATTGCTAGATTTGGATTTTCATTCCATGTTATCATCTAATCCACTTATAAAGGTACACAAATTTATAAATTATTCGTTATTTTAAAATACGAACAAAACTAGATTAATAGTTGAAAAATATATTATGCACAAAACTATTTTAACTGCAATATTAGTCTATATTATTAAATTGTTTGTTATTTCAAATATGAACAAATTATTGAAGTTGATTTTTTTGCTATTATCTCTGCCTCATGTATTCATTAACAACTACAAATAGTTGAACCCCTAGTGCATCAAATATGGGTTTCCTGAAGAAGAGTTTATGCGCATCTGTTCTGCACATGATGCACTTGTTTTCATGTTCCCGGGGAACTAATGAGTCCAGATTTATATCTTAAAGTTATATTGTTGTTCTACTTTTGGGTTTTGTTCATCCATGTTGTGTTTAATGTTTCTTTTATAGCATTTAACGCAATGATGAAAGTAACATAGTAATATAAGAATTTACCCTAATCGTCGAAGACAAAGGAAAACAGTTGGTTTGTCTCGCCACAGCTCTGTAGTTTTCATTGGCAGTGTCTTCATTTCACCAATGATTTCATCCCAATCTTATATTCTAGAGCTAATTTCTGAACTGATATATTTTGAAGAGCAACATAAGGAGCAACTTGGTCACTGATTGGAGGAGATTACACACAACTAGCTATATTATAGTATTGCAGTTAATATTACAGTTAATATAATTTGTTCCTTCAAAATTATTTACAGTTGTCTAAACTAGATTAATATAGATTAATATTACAATTAAAACATATTTGAAACCAACTTCAAAAAAATTACAGCTATTTTAAAAACAGATTAATATTGTTATTTTTAAACTAGAATATTATTAATATTTGAAAAAACAAAATATTTTTTCACTTTATTAAAAACCCTTGCCATGTGTATTTTACCTTGCAAGTTTATGAATATTCAAATGTTGTTAGGTGATATTCACTCCGCAAGTTTCTGTCACTTTCTGCTCCACTCTTCTCTGAACCATCTGCTACTCAACTGCTCTGATTTGTATTGAACTCTAAAAAAAGAGTTGTAGGGTGATTTTCACCTGGCAACGTTGCGGTGTGGTTTTCTCCTTGAAAAGAAGAGTGCATTTCTCCTTGTAAAAAGTTGTGACTAACGTTTTTGTAGGATATCCCGTCCATCCTACAAAAGTTACATTGCGGTGTGATATTTGCGTTTGTGGGGTGCTACTCACCTAATAAATTAGAGTTTTTTTTGTAGTGGTTTTTTGACAAACGGTCAAATATTATGTTGTCGATGATTTAGCATATTTAAAAGTTGTGTCATAAACAACCTAATGTCTTTGTTCTTGGAGAAAAACTTGCATGTATACGAACATTAATCTTTATTATTACAAACAAACAATAATAATAGAGAAAATATTTAATTTACTTAAAATTTAATTTCTTTTTAAATTGGTATTATGAAATACTTGTGATTATGAAAGAGAAAATATTATATTGCTTATTAAAAAAAAGGATTTAAAGGTTAAGTGTCATAAACAACCTAATGTGTTTGTTTGTGTGTCTTACATATCACAAGTCCAATTAAATGTCAGATTTAGATTTCCTGATGTCAATAGTGATTGGAGAGTTCATTTTAGAGTTAAAAGATTTCAAATGTGGGATTGAGTGAAAAACATCTGTGCATGTAATCCTAACTCTTTTGAATCCCACGTTAAAGCAAAGCAATGAATACATGATTTTTTTTTTGGAAATTATGAGAGTAGTCACTTCATCATTATACCTTTTCAAATGCTTTATTGTAAAATGCAGCACCCAAAACCCTAACTTGTTTTAAGTTTACTACCTCTAGAATTCGCTCAAAATATTAGCATTGATTATTAAATTCTCAAATCTTCTTTGCAATACATTATAGATATCTACTTGTAAAGATTTCAAAAGTTTTACATCAAACATGATTTTTTATGAATGTCACAACAATTTATGAGCTCGTATATTGACTCTTATCCCCCTCAAACAGTAAAAAATCTCAACTTCCTTTCTAGGTACACCTTTTGGCTTTGAAGGTACTCCTAATAACTTTAGGCTGACCTAAGTTTTTTTTCTTTGCAAAAACAAAGTAATTCTTGCATTTTTCCCTCGGTAAAGTAAGAACGCCACAATACTTTGTATTTCACTGTGAAAGAGCGCATAGTGAAAATGTTTCTCACTTTAGTTCTTCTCAAATACCTCAAATGACTTAATATAATCAAGAAAATCAAAGAGGTCAATGTTGTTTTTATTTGAATATTTATGATCGTAGAAATTGAAGATAAAAAAATTTGATTTCAATTATGCAATTTAAAAAAAAATTATATTCAAATATTTATTTGACTAAAATAACATAGATTTGAATATAAATCAAGGTAAATTTACACAAAGGTTTGTCCTGGTTCACCACAAACATTATATACATTTAATTCCTTCAATTTTGAAAAAAAAATCTTTATAACCAAACCAAATATAACTACTAGAGTATCAATTGTCTTCTCAAAACTTCTAATATCACTAACTTGAAATATAAGAAGAAGAAAATATTTGAGTGTTAACAAGATATTACTTGAAAGAGATGATATGCAATATGCACAATAGAAGTGATGTGTTTTTGTAAAAAAAATGTATGTAATACACTTCGCTTGATTCTTTGTATTTCTAAGATGTTTTTTAGTGAATTTGTCTTATTTTCAAATGTTTCAATTTTTGTATCGTGAATGTGAAACTTTTTTGTTAAGAATTGAACTATATTTTTAGGAATTATATTGTTGCATGAATATACTATTGTCAGAAATATTACGCATAAAATTTACTATTTTGAAGGTTTTATCACACATAACTTATAATACTATGTTGATTGGTTACGTTGGAAATTCAACAAAATTTATGGTGAATATTTATCAATTTTGATGAATAAGATTGTTATCACCACACAATGATAATGAAAAGAAAAGAAAATTAAAGAAGAAAATAAATTTAGGGTTTCTGAGGAGTAACTCTCTGTCCACAAACGGTGAAAAATCTTTCATTACGCCAAAAAGGGCATTTAACAGCTCACATTAGACAGCGCTTTTATACAAAAACGTTGCTATAAGTGAATTAAAAAAACACGGAAACTGTATACAATAATAAATAAAAGCGCTGCTAAAAATGTGACTTTAGACAGCACTTTTAAAAAGCGCTGCCAAAAGTGTTGTTTTAGAAAGCGCTTTATCAAAAGCGCTGGTAAAGGACCACTTTAGATAGCGCTTTTCAAAAGGACTGTCTAAAGTCATATAAAATTAAAAAAAATCTCAAAAGCGCTGTTAAAGGACCATATTAGCCAGCGCTTTTCAAAAGCGCTGTTAAAGGCCCATATTAGCCAGCGCTGTCTAAAGTCATATTTAAAATTAAAAAATAGAATACCCTACTGTTTCTATTTTCCCAAACTCGTTTCCCTCTTTCAGAGACCTTACGAACGAAAACCCTTTCCCTAACTCGTCGTTGTCCAAGCTCCTTTCGCGGTCGTCCAAGTTCCGTTCGCCGTCCTTCGTCCGACAAGCCCTTTCCCTCTGTCTCTCTCGGTTGTCCTCCACCGCCGACCGACCCTTTCTCATGGTATGTTCTTTATTAAATCCTAGTTTTACTAAAATCATGATAAACTAAAATGCTCAATATTGTTCTGTGTAAAATCAATTTGGGAAGTGTTTTTATTTGTTAGAGTGCATTAACATGGCTAAGAGCAAGCTAATAGAGAAATTGTTTGTAGCATGATTCTTGTTGGAATCAGTTTATGAAGTTGATATTGAATTGATTTGCTGTGTAAAATTTTGATACCCGATACATGTCGGATTCTATTTCTTTTATGGTGTAGATCATTATTTAAATGGTTTGTGATGTTCTGGCCAAAGTACTATTGCTAAGAAGTTTGTTGACATCCATAATTCAAAGGTAGTAACTTATTGTCTCTTATTCTTTGTTTCATATAAATGACTTATAATATAAGCAATTATATGATAAACGCGAAAATAATTTGTTTAATCATATAAGGTGTTAGTCCT